AAGAAACAAACAAACACACAAACAAATACCAAATTAAAGCTGTATGGACCCTGGCTAGCGCCAGACGTTACTGAAGTAACGTCTTCTGCATAGCTACGGGAATAAAGTAACTAACTAACAATGTGCTCGATGAGCTAGGCAACAAAGCATAGCGTAGGGCCCTGAGCTTCCAAGCTCTCTCGTTAATCTTTACATGTGTGCAGTCTTTGAGAGATATTTCTGCTGGTGATTATGCGCTAGGGATTACACTCGCCCAGCTTCGGAGAGAGCGGCATTTTAGCTTTCAATGCTAGATTGGCAGAGCATCGCAGAGTTTGGCTAACTGAGTGTCACTTTGCTGTTGATCTGTCCCTGCTTGGGGTCACGCATGCTGGTGCTGAGAGGGCCCTAGCCTCGTTCAGGGAGGTAGCTGGTCCATTGGGGCCTTTGTGTCAATATCTCTAAAACCAATTGTTATCACTGTGCGGTCCTTTGTTTATGATTGTTTGTGTGCTCTAGCAAGAAGACTTTGCGGCAAGCTGATCGTTTCGACTTGGCTAACCGTTTGAAGAAGGAACTAAACGATGAACAACGAGGTACGTATTTTAATGGTCATTCGAATGGTGGCAAAACCAGGACTCTACCAACCGGGTTATGGTTGTAGGCAGGAACACTGTGCGTCCTCGCCTTGTAACATGCTGTCGAAATCGAAAACATGTTAAACTATGATATTCTTCCCTGATGATGAGCTCTCTATCTGTTTCTGTGTGCACATGTTCTTTGTTGTTCTCCACAGTGGTGTACTCTTCATATGCGACTAGAGGCTGGGTATGTACATGCTTTTCACCATCCTGCCTACGCTGGCTGGTCAGTTGGATATCTCCTGCTCCTACGCCAGGTGTGCTGGCTGTTCTAGTAGGAGCGCTGGCTGTATTCGCTGTATTCCCTGTGCTAGCTGTGATGGTTGCGTTTGCTGTGCTGGATGTACTGGCTGTGCTTGCTGTGGTCTGGTCATAGCTGTGCTAGTAGCACTGGCTGTGCCCGATATGATGGCTGTGATGCTTGTATTGACTGCGCTGGCTGTGATCTGGTCATAGCTGTGCTAGGAGCACTGGCTGTGCTCAATGTGATGGCTGTTATGCCTGTATTGGCTGTGCTGGCTGTGATGGTGTGTATTGGTGGTATGGGCTGCGCTGGCTGTGCCCAATGTGCTGGCCTGCCACTCTTTATCACCATGGCGATAACGATGCCCTGGAGGCAGGTGATATTAGTTTATACTGGAGAGTCTGCTCCTATCGTCTTAATCATCTTATTACTTTCACCCTGATGGTGGGACTTGATGGAAAAGTTGGTGAATACACTTAGTGAAGTATACAGCAAAGAGAGTTGCTTGGAGGCTAAAATCTGGGTTCTTTGAACTCTTCGTGTTTTGACCAAATCGTTTTTTACAGCTCACGTAAATCTTCTGCATTTCACCAGCTGTTGGATCCCATGTTGAGGTACAATGGCTGCGGGCGGCTGTTAGCTTAAAGGGGAAGTTAAGGCTAAATCAAAATTTCACCAGTTGTAGTCTTCGGGGTGCTGAGTCGAATGGTCGTGGTCCGAGGAAGCTGAGATGCTCCCTTCCTACTTTAATCCCAATCGAACTCGCGCACTTTCACCGAAACTGGGTGACTGCGCCCTACTAGATGGAGATTTGTATGCAAAATGTCACTAAAAGCGCCATTTCGTTCTTATAAAAGCACGGATGACCGCGATTGGCCCATATGTTGTAGTCTTTTGGACGCTGAGTCGACTGGCTTTGGTGCGAAAAGGCTGCGATGCAGCGATCCTCCTTTATTCCCAATCGAACATGGTTGAACAAGCGGTCACGTGCTCCTGCGTACACCAGTCACCTGGTCACCGTGCCTGCAGGGTACAATTTACTAGCCTGTTTGACCTTTTTTGGGTGCAGTCCTGTCACTCGAGTTGAACCTTGGTGTGAAAGTTAGTTGTCTCCTGCTGGCGTGGTGACCAGGTGATTTGGGCACCCAGGAGCACGTGACCGCTTGTTCAACCACGTTCGATTGGGAATAAGGGCCGAACGCTGCATCGCAGCCTTTTCGGACCAAAACCTGTCGACTCAGCGTCCAAAAGACTACAACATATGGGCCAATCGCGGTCATCCGTGCTTTTATAAGAACGAAATGGCGCTTTTAGTGACATTTTGCATACAAATCCCCATCTAGTAGGGCGCAGTCACCCAGTTTCGGTGGAAGTGCGCGAGTTCGATTGGTATTCAAGTAGGAAGGGAGCGTCTCAGCTTTCTCGAACCAAGACCATTCGACTCAGCACCCCGAAGACTACAACTGGTGAAATTTTGATTTTTGCCTTAACTTTCCCTTTACTTGAGATTATATTCTTCGTTTCCCCACTCTCACACACACACACATGCTCACAGTCAATCTTGCCGTCATGAGTCCTATTCGGAACGGATACGAGAATAATAACAATAATAACATTGTTCCACTGCTGGCATGTCTATTGTGTCCAGCGTGTGACACACTAGTCGAGTGACTACTTTAATATGTAGTGCGGCTGGTGGCGTGATGATTATGACTGGTGTAATTATTATATTATGTGGTTCATGGCTTGATGATCGTGACTGGTGTAGTGTGTTGAAGACTTGACGGTTCAGACTAGTTGGACATGGTTGTGTGTGTGTGTGTGTGTGTGTGACCGTGGCATAATGTTGTATTGTATGTGTTGTGATGGTGTTGAAAACCAGTACAGTAATGCATACACAGGAGAACCATGCATTGAGCTGGCCTATACCGGAGCCTCAGTCGCAATGAACTTCCACCGGTTTCACATTACATGTACTGTTATGTACTATAATTATAATCAAGAAAAATAAACAAGAGTATGCGACTGTGACCTCTAGTCTATGGGCAAGATGCGCGGCACGCTGGCCTCATTACATCATTCAGCTGCAGTATGAGTACTGCGTAACATGCGCCCAAAACTTAGAGATCGACTGAGTACGCGAGCGAATCAAGCAACAACGGTTGAGGTGGTACGAGAGATTGTGGCTTTGAGTGCATGCGTCCAGGACAGGAGAGAGAGAGAGAGAGAGAGAGAGAGAGAGAGAGAGAGAGAGAGAGAGAGAGAGAGAGAGAGAGAGAGAAGAGAGAGGGAGAGAGAGAGAGAGAGAGAGAGAGGAAGAGACACTCCCGGCCTATTAGCAGGACAACCAAAACATTCGATCGTTAATGCGGTAATACGAAATCATCTACAACCGTGATGACCTAGACAAAACAGCATAGCACTGTTGTAATATTTTCACTTCTCTTACTTTTCAAAACAGAACATGGGATTCGAACCTGCACTATCGCCCTACATGCATTCGCCCAATACACTTCGCACACATCCACATATTATTTCCAAGTTGCTTCACGTTATGATCTTGCAATTGGTTGTTTGTCTGTGTACTTTATTTGAACTTGCAAATCCTTTCGAGCACAAAAGCTCCCTTACAAGGCCGCGAATACATTATTGTGTTACAGGGAAGGAGGCCTGGAGAGAAAATAATAAGAAAGAAAAGAGAATGTTAGATACATCAATGAAGAGCGAAGCAAAACCAGTTAAGCCAGCGAATGACAGTTCTGCAACCCGCCTAATATAGTAATAAGACACTCCTAAAACTAAGTACTAACTGCTAACGAGAGTACATAACCCCCTACTCATGCTACCACAAACAAACAAACAGAAGGAGAATGCCGACTCACGGTCTACAACAACGGCTTTGTTCGCCCAGTCTTAGAGCATGGCATGCTAGTCTGGATGGGTGCTTCTCAGACGGTGCTGGCCCAACTCGATGCTGTACAGCGGAGAGCCCTGCATCTGATCGGCGAAGGCGCATATCTGCCAAGCCTTGAACTCCGGCGCAAAGTGGCTGCTCTCTGCTATCTCTACAAAATCTACTACCTGACAGGCCCACAGATGCTAACCCGAATGCTGCCCCCCTCCCAAGCAGTACCAGACCACGACCAACATCCTGCCAACACCAGGCAGCAGGCGCGGGTGGCGGCCGGCCACCGCTACCAGCTGCAGTCTGATATCCCAGCCAATTCTCGCAACAACGTCCGCCGGTCGTTCCCTGAAGGAGTGCTGGACACCTGGAACCAGTTGCCTCGCCAACACCTCCTGGATCAGCCCGACCAGAAGAGGTTGCAGTCCTTCAAGTGCAGCGTCCACCGATTCCTGCGCTCGAGCCACTGGGACTGGGCGACCGACCGGCTGTAGGGACTCTGCGTGGTGGTTTTCTGGACGTTACTGTGAGAGAGTGAGTCTGTGCACAAATATTATGTATTATTACGCGTCTGCGTGAGTGTGCACGTGTGTGTCTGTGTGTGCGTGTGTGGTGATGTGTGTGGTGTGTGTGTGTGGTGTGTGTGTGTGTGTGTGTGTGTGTGTGTGTGCGTGTGTGTGTGCATGTGTGTGTGTGTGTGTGCGCGCGCGCGCGCGTGTGTGTGTGTGTGGGGGGGGGGGGTGCACATGGTTGGTATGTGGTGTTTATGTGAGCGTATGATAATAATCTCTTCAATAATATTAATATCTTTATTTCAAGATTACCCAACGCCGGCGAACGCCTATCAGGTTGATCTCCTATTTGAACAGGCGCATATGTGTGTGTAGGATGTGCCCTAGCTCACTTATAATTATTATTATGTTATACACGTAGATCATGTCCATGATGCCTTTCCTCTGCGCAGGTCGACCGCACTATTGTTTTTAAGATTCACGTAATTATTACTTCTGCATATGCATTACATACTATGATCATGCCGGCTCCATCCCTTATCTCCTAAGCTACCACCCCCCCCCCCCCCCCGGTGCGTCTGCCCAGTGTTGACTCCGAGACCCACGGTCGGACGAGCTGCCCAGGCCTCACCACCACTGCCGTTTTCGTGCTGCCTTCTCGATACATACGTATGTACACTGTATATCATGTGCACATTCACATGTCTGAAGGTTTGTGGTTTTTCAATAAAAAAATAAATAAAAAAATGAAAGCCGTGTGGACCCTGGCTAGCGCCAGATGCTACTAAAGTAACGCCTCTTGCATAGCTACGGGAATAATCTCTACAGTCCTAGGCATGAACTGTACTTGATCTCTTCATAACGTTAGACCGTGCATTCAGGATTCTAGACGAGCATGTTGATCGACGGGAATCACAGCTTTCATCATCTGCAGACCTTCACCAATGCCGACGAGTTCTCTTGATAGACCGTTGTAGAGCTTGATGAAACCGTCAGTGCCCTGCGGTTCCACAAGGCACAACACATCTCTGTTGTGCGTCTCTTTGCCGTGTGCACTGCGGACGTCCTCCAGACGATGTACTTGGTTAAGAGTCAGGAGACCCTGACGCTGAGCTGCAAGTCTCAAATCAACTGCATCCAGGTTGGAGAGCCACGGGTGAATGTCACGCACATAGCTGATGGACTGGAATCCAGTTTGCTGTACAGGAAGAGAGAGAGAGACTGAGAGAGAGACTGAGAGAAAGATAGATAGAGAGAGAGAGGGAGAGAGACAGAGAGAGACAGAGAAAGAGAGAGAGAGAGGGAGAGAGAGAGAGAGAGAGAGAGAGAGAGAGAGAGAGAGAGAGAGAGAGTAAGTTACATTTATAAAGACAGGTAAGTCTAACAAATGAGGACTGAGACCTCTACAACAGGGTTTTTACGCCTGAAAGCAGGTGCATGATTTAACAAGCAGGTTATCAGTCTAGATTTTATGCGCAGATGGAGAAAAAGCGCAGAATTTTTGTAATGAGATGAAAAGCAGAAATAATAAGAAATAATAAGAAAAGATGAAATGAAAGCCTGCTCACAACCCCGCCCAGCCTTGCGAACTGGGTATGGTGGATTAAGAACCCGGTTCAACGCTCGAGCAAGCGCTCTCCACTCAAGGTGTTCACAGCAACTGATAGGAACTCATATGGGGAAATTATAGAAAAGAAATAATAAGATAAAGAGAATAAATTTCAACGCACCTCAATAAACGGAGCCCCACATACAGTACCTCAGAAAAGTGGATCTTCCGACCAGTGTTTTTGTTGACGCCGCAACCAGATGATGTAGCTGCTTCGCAGAGACGTCTTACTGCACAAATTACAAATAAATTTTATTCTTCGATTAGAAAATCCAAGCGCTTTCAGAGCCCTCCGAAGAGAGTCCGGGATGAAACCACGCACACCTACCTCAACCGAAAAAGAAACGACCTGCCACCCGTTTGCTCGGCATTGATCGGCCAGATCCGCATACCGCCTGTCCTTCCGCGAGTTACTGACACTGAATCTGTCCTCAGCACAAACTGTCAACTCCATCCAGAATACAATCCTACGACTCGTAGAGTACAGAACTATATCTGGTCTTAGGCTGTGTTTACATGAGAAATTTCAACCCGGGTCGAGTTCAGCCCGGGTTGAAAGTCTGTACGATAGCCAAAAGAGGTGAGCGTTTACATGAAGACAGTTGACCCGGGTCAAATACTGATATGCCGCCAAAAGTCCACTTCTACAGTCCTGTATGGTCACGTGAATCCGTTCGCGCGAAATTTGCATCTGCAGTGCCGTTCAAACCTGGCGCGAGATACGCACAGAAGTACGTTTGTACGATTTTCTTGACCCGGGTTGATTTCAACCCTCCCCTTGGGGGGAGGGTTGAAATCAACCCGGGGCGAAATTTCAACCCGGGTCAAGCGCAATGCGTCATGTAAACGCGCCATTCACTTTGTGCACATGGCGGGTTGAAATCTGACCCGGGTCGAACTCAACCCGGGTTGAAACGCTTCATGTAAACACAGCCTTAGGGTGGTAAGTGCAACACAGCTAGGGAAAGAAATCTTTGCACTAACTGAGTCGACAAGAAGTTTCCAGTCTGAGGCCGCTGACAGGAGATCAGTCGTAACCAACTTTCGTCTGGGCTGAACGCGAACTGGCTTCTCTCCCGCCTTGCAAAACGAGATGAAGTCAAGCTCATTTGAATTTTCGGTTTGTACGGTGTTTGCAGCAGTGCGGATTCGAATCTCCTCACGCATGTTCCTGACGATGACCCCGAGTACGTTGTCGTGCCTCCAGTGTGTAACGTCCCTGGTCCAGCGCTACGCGACAAGCGCCAAGCACGTGG